GCGGGGGAGGGTTGGAGGCAAGAAACTCAGCGGGCATGGCTGCACGGAAGCGGGCATCACTAGTGCGGAGGTGAGTGATGAGGTCAGCGACTGTCTGGAAGGCGGACAAGTCCGGGAACAGGTAGGGAAGCGAGAGGCGGCCTAGTGCAGCTGAGGCCGGGGAGGAGTAGCGCGCAACTACAGCAGTGTACAGGGCCTGCGCAGTCTGATGCTGGCCAAAGTGCTCGCGCTCGTCGACTGGCAGGGAGTTGCGAATAGCAAAGCGGGCGTGGGCATCGCGAGTCTGCCACTGCAAGCGAGCAGTAGCAGCAGCAGTAGTAGCAGGAGCAGGGACTGTGCCTAGTGCGTGATCGTACAGCGAGATATCCTCTCTGGCAGTGAGCTGGAGGAACAGGTGCAGATCATCGAGCCAGGTCTCAAACTTAATCGGGCGGCCCTCAGCATCGAACGAGAGAACTGTAGGGCTAGCCATAGCTGAAGTAGCAGTAGCAAAAGTAGCAGTAGCAGTAGCAGTAGCAGTAGCAGTAGCAGTAGCAGCAGGAGCAGTTCAGTCCAGTACTGGTGCTGCTGCTCAGCTAGGCTAGGACGGCGCGGCTCGGCTAGGACGGCGCGGCTCGGCTAGGACGGCGCGGCTCGGCTAGGGCGGCGCGGCTCGGCTGGGGCGGTGCGGCTCGGCTGGGTCGCGCCGTTCGGCTCGGGTCGCGCGGTTCAGCTGAGGTCGCGCTGCGCGGCTCGGTCATAGAGGGGCGAGCGCGGGGGCCGTTCGAGGCGAGCGCGGGGGGGGGGCGTGCAAGGCTAGCGCGGGGGCCGTTCGGGGGCCGTTCGGGGCTAGCGCGGGGCCATTCGGGGGCCATGAGAGGCTAGCGCGGGGTCGATCCGGGGCCGTAGGGGGCTAGCGCGGGGCCTTAAGGGGCCGTGAGAGGCTAGCGCGAGGGCCGCACGGGGCCGTTCGGGGCTAGCGCGGGGCCAATCGGGGCCGTAGGAGGCTAGCGCGGGGCCGTAAGTGGGCCGTGGGAGGCTAGCGCGGGGCCGCACGGGGCCGTTCGGGGCTAGCGCGAGGCCGTAGGGGGCCGTGGGAGGCTAGCGCGGGGCCACGCGGGGCCTTAAGGGGCTAGCGCGGGGTCGTAAGGAGGGGCCGTGAGAGGCCTTAAGGGGCGACGCGAGGGGCCGTGAGGGGCCTTAAGGGGCGACGCGAGTAACGAGGCGCACGAGGGCGCGGGGAAAAGGCGGCGCACTAGGGCGCGGCTAGCGGAAACGGTGGGCCCTAACGTTTTGGTCCTAGGTGGAACCTAGGCTCGTAATACCATGTCAGAATGAGAAACGAGAATCCTGTGACTAACAGGAACAAGAGTACAAATATGAAAACCTAATCTGGTGTACCCCCTAAGGTGTAACCCACTACAGCCTAGAAGCACACAAACATAGAATGTTTGACATCTCCTTGCGCTGCATTACCCTCACCCACTCTCTCCTTGCGCTGCATTGCCCTCACCCACTCTCTCCTTGCGTTGCATTTCCCTCACCCACGCTCTCTTTGCTGCGTGCTCACATCGTACCTCTCGCCCATCTCTCACACATTCACAAACCACACAGCCTGCCAATGAGCGTTCTGGCAGAGGCAGTCATAGAAGGAGGGGCAGGTGGAGCATGCCTACAATGGCCGACATCCCACACCGTGCTTACCTGATGGCTCTTGCCTGGGCGAGGTAAATTCAGACGACGGGAGATGAATCAGGTAAGTACAATCTGCAGAGGAGAGGAGATGCAATGCGCAACGGTCCAGGCACAAGTGACCAGGCGCAAGGGAGCAAGCGCAAAGGACAAGCCACAAGGGAGCTTCGGACGTGACTGTAAATTGCGTAAATTTACCCGTGATGGTTGACCTTGTCAAGTGAGCTTGTAGCATTTGTGGAGAAATCAGTCTTTGTTTCAAAATTTTGCTTGTATATTCATTTTGTTGAGTTTGTGTAAAGAATTATAATCTCGTCTTTATGCTTACTGTAGCTTTATATTAGCTCGTGAGCTCCGAGGTCCTGGTGTCAGCTGGTTCGGCCTACTTTCGCGCTCCGAACAAATTACGTTTCTCCTCCGCACCTTTCGCCAGCTTCCGAACCTATTTTTTCCCGAGGTTCTCGCCTAGCTCGTCGCTGCCTATTTTACCCTCGCTAGGCATTCTCTTCTGCACTTCTAGTACAAACCTCACATTTCGTATTCGGGCGTGTTGCCAGAAGTGAGCAAGAAACCCAACAGCATGGTGTCAGTGACGCCCACGACGACGAGAGAGCAACGAATAGAAACGGTCGCAACGATAGCGGTCGCGTTGAAGTGACAGCCAGGGCAACGAGAGCTCTTCGCGATGTCTGAGAGCCGCAACAACAGAGGTGCGAGGCGCAACCTTGACATTCGTTGTGACACGTCCTAGTAAAGTGATGATACTGAATTGGCAGTAGGTTTGGAGCGTCAGGTAGTAGCGCAAACGTTACTGCGTCAGAGCGACGGACAGTCAACGCTACAGCGCGTCGTACGTCGATGTGAGAGCGACGGACCGCGACCAGAGAGCGATGGACTGCGATGAAAGAGAGACGGACTGCGACGAGAGAGCAACCTTCGATGGCGGGAAAACGACCTTACGCGACGATGAAGCGACAAAAACAATTTCGTGATGGCGATCGCGGCAGCAGATGCGCGAGGAGAAGCGGCAATTGTGCATCCCAAAAATCCCTCTCGGGGCCCACGGGAAAGGGGAGACGAAGTGCCTACTTCGCGTGCTCGAGTCAAGTACTGTTAGGGTGTAGCTGGTGCAGGTACAGTGTAAACCCCCCTCCTGGTAGCGAGTGCACTTGCACAACCAACTCGGAAGCGAAGTCTGGACAATGAAATCAGGGTGAAGTACAGACACACTACAATCGACACCTCCAGCCTGCTCGTAGACCATTGGAGGATATGATGTGCATACTCACCCTAAAAAACAGCTCACCACACAGAAACAAGTGTATATGTACTTGAATTCATCGCTTCCAACACCCGCGGAGTTTAGAGGAGGGGCTAGTCAATTTTTACCCTTTTGGCACAAAACGAAAATCTCAGCCGTCGATTTGATTTCAGCAAATCATTGCATTCGGGGCTGACTATAATTCGCTACTCACAAAAGGTTGGAATTTGAGCCGTCGATTTGTTTTTGTTTCAGCCGTCAATTTTCAGATGCAAAGGCTGATTTCAACCATCGATGCGAAATGAAGGGTACGGTGAAGATTAAGCATCGCCTTTTGTCTGGTTGGAATCGCAACCGTCGATGGTCTTAAAGCGACGGTACACATTTGCCACCCGAAACCCTAAACCCTAGCTTGCCAACACTTTCGCGCTGGCAAGCAGGTTCAAAAAAAAAATTCTGAACCCAACCCCGCCAAAAGTGCACCGTCGCTTTAACTTCGAACGATCTAGATTTTATGTGTTATGGTTGGAACATCAATCGTCGATTTCGTTGGACGACAGGTTTGACGTGTTTCTTTCAGCTGTCAGTGCATGATTGGTTGTGAAACCAAACCACTTGATATATTCAAGCGTTCAATGGTTAAGATCGATGTAGGAAACTGAGTTGGCAACAAGATAACGCGATCTCGTTTCGGATTGGTTCATTTTTCATCTGGGCTCAGATTTGGGGGGAGGCACGCACTACTTGACTTGGTATATTCCAAACACAGCGTTCTATTTCCTCATTCTCTGTTGCTTCTCTCTCTCGTTTTCTACTTCGACAGTCTTCCCAACCTTTTCCCTTTCTCTAGCTCTTCGGCTTAGAGCCAACCATTGCCTCCGTCCACCTCCAACCATTTCCCGCCAGGTTCTTCTCTCCCATTACCTATACAGAACGACTTTAATATTTTATTCGGTTTCCACGTCTTTATAGTATACTCTACGCATGACTGTTTGCAACAAAAACGTGCGTGCAGTGGCACTATGGTTAGTACATTAAACATTGCCGTCGCTTTATATTGAACGTTTCCTACTGCTAACGAGGAGTGAAATTGTCGCGATTTTGCAGGCGACTGGTTTGCGCTTCCAGCATACCTTGTTATGCTGTGCTTGACCTTAGTGTTATTCTCTTTAGCACTGTTGTTGGGAGCTGATTTGTAAGTTTCCAGCGTTTTTCGTAAGTGTCGTACCTTGTCTCCCGTTATTGCAGGGTGTGGTTGGTCGGACTTGTATTCCAGGCTCACTCACTGTCGATGGTCGTGATCACACATGCCTGTGAAGTTGATTATCTCATGGTTGATTTGTTCTCTTGTGTAATGTTATGTTAATGTATTTATTCAACTATTCTCTTTATAGCTAACGTCCACAGTACGACCATTAAACTTCAAATGAACAACCAATAGGAATGTGAAATTGGTTAAAATGTACTACTAGATGCAGTACAAATTGCTTTGTGACTGCATGGTAATTACTATGTACATACTGCATGTTTTGGGGGGACTAGTGTCATAGTGTGAACCTCGCACATACTATATTTGATTGTCTGGAGTATCTGTAGTCTGTTTGCAAACTCTCTACAATATACGCTCTTAGTATGATATAGAGTATGTACAAAGCACATACTGTATTGCCAGGTATAGAGTAGCTCGTTAGTCACATAACCTATACTTACATAGTTCGTCTGTACAATGTGCGCTCTACGTATTCACAATGTGTAGACATTATGTTTACTTAGTATTTTCGCCGAACAAATACGCGATGTGGGTGGGGCAAGCACGGGCGTGCAAGAGGGGCTCTTAGCGGCAGAAGCGGCCGAGACAGCGGCGGCGATGGCGGTGGAAGCGGCGGAGGCAGCAGCATCCTTGCGAGCAGCACAGGCCGGAGCGGCGGCGGCGAAGAGGCGGTGGAAGCCCGCCCCGCTCGCGCTCCGCCTGGATCACTTCCTTACCGATGCCGCCCCCGCCGCCGGCGTCACCATCACCGTTACCGCCGCAATTCCCGCTGCGCGCGCCCTGGGATGGGGAGCGCAGATGGGGGCAGCAGCGGGCGGCCGTGCAGAGGGGGAAGGGGAGGCCGCACAGAAGGCAGATGGATGGGAAGCAAGCAACTGGGTAGGTGAGGGCGAGGGAGGAGAAAGGGAGGAGAGAAGCGGCAAGGGAAGGGGCAAGGAGGAGAGGATTGGGGAGGAGAGGTGGAGGGAGCGGAGGAGTATGGAGGGGAGGAGAAGGGAGGGGAAGAGAAGGGAGGAGAGGAGCAAGGAGGGAAAAAGCAGGGCTGGGAGGAGAAGAGAGGGCAAGAAGGCAGCGTAGTGGATCTCAGAATCCCAGCCACTAGACCACTGGGATAAAAGGGCTTGTTAAGTAGCGGGTCAGTGCGCCCATCATCCCCCAGGACAACGAGCCTGTAACCCTTCCCTAGGATCGATCGGGGATCACCAGTGGACCTCTGACAGTGGAGGCAAACTCAGCCGAGCACTTTCATTGGCGCGGAGGCATGCATCAGGTGAGGCGAGGAGGCGACTTCTTGCCACTGAGCACCATAGATGAGCCATGGTGCCGTGCTGGCTATTGAGAATTCTCAACAACCAGCTGGCCACCACGAGAATACACCTTGTGACCACCAGCCAGCCCCCAAACACCACTGATGAGTCGTGATGCTGTGAGTGACGCTGTGAGTGACGCTGTGAGTGGTGCTGTGAGTGATGCTGTGAGTGATGCTGTGAGTGATGCTGTGAGTGATGCTGTGAGTGATGCTGTGAGTGATGCTGTGAGTGACGCTGTGAGTGATGTTGTGAGTGGTGCTGTGAGTGGTGCTGTGAGTGGTGCTGTGAGTGGTGCTGTGAGTGATGCTGTGAGTGATGTTGTGAGTGATGCTGTGAGTGATGCTGTGAGTGATGTTGTGAGTGATGCTGTGAGTGATGCTGTGAGTGATGCTGTGAGTGATACTGTGAGTGATGCTGTGAGTGATGCTGTGAGTGATGCTTTGAGTGATGCTGTGAGTGATGCTGTGAGTGATGCTATGAGTGATGCTGTGAGTGATGCTGTGAGTGATGTTGTGAGTGATGCTGTGAGTGATGCTGTGAGATCAACGCGCTCAAAGTCAGGCTGTTTCTGAAAGACCCCCTCAAGGACCCCCTCAAGGCGATACTGGAGGGGCGATTGCAGTGGGAGGGGGAAATGGCTACGGGGGGGAAAGCGGCATTAGTGAGTTACATCATGCGTTAATGGCCATTCCTTCGCTCCCCAATATCTGTCTTGCTCTCACTGCTGCTCCCTAGTACCCTCTCCGTTCCCTCCTTCCTCGTCCACATGCGTCCCCCACCGCTCTCATGGGTGCAGGGGAGGAGTTCTTTCCTTTCCCCTCCATAGATTGCGATGATGCACCGTGTGCTGGCAAGGGCTGAAGGAGGTGGGGCAGGCGGTGCGGGGCACGGCTGATGAAGATTCCACCTCATGCACCCCACCCCATCCACCCTCCACCCTGCCATCCTGGTGGTCTCGATGCGGCCCTCGCGCCATCCCATGAGACGCTGCCGCATGTACCATTCCCACTTCCAAGTGCCGCTATCCACCCACGCATATCCCCCTCTCCTTCATATCCCTAGGCGGTCTTGACGCGGCCCTTTCTTCCAATTTATCAGACGCCGCCACTCGCAGCATTCCCGTGGTTGTGGCTCGCTCCTGACGCTGCCTGGCCAAGGTGAGTGCAGGCTTAGGCGCGATGTTAGTTCTATTTCGAAAGTGCATGCGTGAGGGTTAACGCATACAGCATTTTCGTGGTTGTGGCTCCTTGCCGACGCTCAAGGTTCATGTTGGGAGTAGCAGCAAACTTCTGAGAAAACGCTTTGCAAACGGATCAAGACTCGTAAAAATAAAAGTTCGTAGAAAATCAAGAAGATCTCAAAGCCTCCAAACCTCGAAAAACCTTCCCGACGCTGCCTGGCTAAGGAGACTACAGTGCATGGTAAGCTGAGTGCAGGCTGAGGTGCGGTGTTGGTGCTACCATCAGGTTACGCACGGTGCGGTGGGGTGTTGGTTCTGTCCGGTAGCTCACATAAAGGTGGGTTATTGGTGCCACCATCAGGTAGCGCACATTGAGGTGTGGAATCGGGGGAGGCATGCGTGAGGGGTATTGCAAGCAGCCTTCCTGTGGTGATGCCTCTCTCTCACGGCACTGTCTGGCCAAGGGAAATGATTGGCTGGTCAAGGCGAGGTGGGTTTCTCTCCACCAGGCTGTGAGGAGTGAGGAGTGATGCCATGTGACATGTGACCAGGCGGATGGAAGGCAGAGGGGGTTGAGGGGAGCGAAAGAAGTGTATGTTTTCTAAGTTCCATTGTATCATCCGGAGGAGTGGGTTTACATACTAGCATCGAGTACCTACCGTACTCACTTGCAGGGGCCGTCTCACGCAGCCCTTCTGTCTTCATGCATATTCCCTCTCGACTGTTTTTCCCCCGCAGCCTTTCTGGTGATCGTCATGGCGGGGCAGTGAGCAGCTGAGAGGGGGGTATGTTATGTTGCATTCATCACCATGGTGATGCTGCATTCAGAACCGCATTGCATTGAATTGCACCCTCTCATCTCATGCATACGCATGTTCGGCTGTCTATCGACCACTTCCCCTCTGCTCACCTCTTGATTTCAATGTAGCCCCTCACGTCGCCCCTCACCCTTGCCATGACCCTTACTCCTTAGCTTCTCTTCGCTGCTTGCCAGGCCTTGAACCGCCCGCGCTGCCGAGTGAACCGCGGCCATTCTGTTCGACAGTAGGGCCGTCCTTGCCCCTCGCGCATCACCCCTCACCTCATCACCTATCCTCCTCTTCATTTTCTCCCTGCCAGGATGCTAAAGAGGGACTGGGAACTGAATGTAGCTAAAGTGCTGTAAGTTGTGCTTGCATCGCCCCCATCCACACACAGAAGGGGTGCACACTCGACGGGGTGCACATCCTGCTGAGGAGCGTTTTGGTAGAGGAGCGGGCGGAGCAGCAAGGAGTCCAGTCAACAAGGCTGGAACCAAGACTCTCTAAGGACAAACGCGTTGGAGTTATGAAACAAGGGATTTTCTTTTGGCAACAGCCGCACTCTTGCCCCCACCGCCCTCACACCACCAGTGCCCTCTCACTCCCACCACCAATTCTGCCATGCAGGAAACAAACCCAGGCAGCACGAGGTCCACCAGGCAGGCTGCAGCCAATAATCGTGACAGTCAAATGCAGAGTCATGGGGGGGAGAATTACCAATAAGAACCCAACGCGGGCAGTTTGGGTTGTGTGTACCCTTCAGTCAATGATGAAACGTAATAAGTGGTACCGGTACGGGTAAATTATGTAATTCCACTGCACTAGCCAAGTTCGTATATTTGTAGCGCGTGAATGATTGCCCGTGATGGTTGAAGTTGACTATTGAGTTTGTTGAATTCGCGAAGAGCTCCATTTGGGATTTTTTCAATAAATTAGCGTGAGAGAGCGTGCTGGCGGAGGCACGCTGTCATTGGCCTGACTCCCGTGGGGCGGGAGGGGGGAGGGGGGCAGGAGGCAGTTGCTACGTGGGTGCCGGGAAGACAGCACAGGGGCTGTACGCACATGCATGGGGCACACAGGCTGATGGAGATATGGTGGGGATATGATGGGGATGTGATGGGGATGTGATGGGGATGTGATGGGGATTTGATGGGGATACTATGGTTGGGATATGATAGGGATATGATGGGGATGTGATGGGGATATGATGGGGATATGATGGGGATATGATGGGGATGTGATGGGGATATGATGGGGATTTGATGGGGATATGGTTGGGATATGATGGAGATATGATGGGGATATGATGGGGATGTGATAGGGATATGATGGGGATATGATGGGGATTTGATGGGGATATGGTTGGGATTTGATGGGGATATGATGGGGATGATGGGGATATGATGGGGATATGATGGGGATATGATGGGGATATGATGGGGATATGATGGGGATATGATGGGGATTTGATGGGGATTTGATGGGGATATGGTTGGGATATGATGGGGATATGAAGGGGATATGATGGGGATATGATGGGAATATGATGGGGATATGATGGGGATATGATGGGGATATGATGGGGATATGGTGGGGATATGATGGGGATGTGATGGGGATATGATGGGGAGATGATGGGGATATGATGGGGATATGATGGGGATTTGATGGGGATATGGTTGGGATATGATGGGGATATGATGGGGATATGATGGGGATATGATGGGGATATCATGGAGATATGATGGGGATGTGATGGGGATATGATGGGGATGTGATGGGGATATGATGGGGATATGATGGGGATATGATGGGGATGTGATGGGGATATGATGGGGATATGATGGGGATATGATGGGGATATGATGGGGATATGATGGGGATATGATGGGGATATGATGGGGATATGGTGGGGATATGGTGGGGATATGGTGGAAGTATGAGAGCAATGATGGGCTGATGGGGATATGATGGGGATATGGTGGGAGTATGAGAGCAATGATGGGCTGATGGGGATATGAGAGCAATGATGGGCTGATGAGGATATGAGAGAAATGATGGGCTGATGGGGTTATGATGGGGATATGAGAGCAATGATGGGCTGATGGGGTTATGATGGGAATATGAGAGCAATGATGGGCTGATGGGGTTATGATGGGGGTATGAGAGCAAAAAAGGGCTGATGAGGTTATGATGGAGATATGAGAGCAATGATGGGCTGATGGGGTTATGATGGGGATATGAGAGCAATGATGGGCTGATGATGTTATGATGGGGCCAGAGCGGGACAATCGCTGCCACGCTCCCACGACCATCTCATTCCCACCGCCGTCTCAATCCCACCACCATCTCTGCCATGCAAGAAATGAAGTCTGCTGATGCAACAAGAGGTTCACCAGGCAGGTTGCATCCAAGACTTGCTACAGTCAAATGCCCAGTCAATGCAGGCAGTTTTGGTTGTTTGCCACTTCGTCTATGATACGGTATGCGGTGATATGTGTAATTTGCGCAATCGCACTGCACTAGATAAATTTGCATTTGTTGTAGCATGTGAATGACTACCCGTGATGGTAGAGTCTGCGGAGAAATCAAAGTTTTGCCTAAAACTCGGTTTATTACGTTGAGTTGCATAAGGAAATATAGTTTGTTACTGTAGGCTTTCAGAACCTTGTATGTTCCGAGGAGTTCGCAACCAGTTCGGCCTGTAATTTCGGCCGAACCACTTCCGACTCGCCACCGCACCTTTCGCCAACTTCCGAGCCTGGTTTACCCCACGGTTCTCGCCTAGCTCGTCTCTGCCTATATTTCCCTCCTCGACATTTGTAGGCCATTCAGTTCTGTAGTTTTCTAGTCTGTAAATAGGCCAATCAGTTGGTTACGCCATCATCCAGCAAGCATCGCGATGGGCTAGGTTCTGTAGGAGTAAGCATCCGTGTTCAGGATGGGGAAGTGAGAGAAACAATGGTATGTCATGTAGTGACTCGATAGACGTCGTGTCGAAGCGACGAACAGGGCGACGAGTGCGAGAAGAGCCGATTGCGATGGCGGAGAGCCGCGACAGCAGCGGCGCGAGGAGCAGCAGCAATCGCGGGTGGGCAAACAGTAGGTCCAAGCTTGACATTTGTTGAGAAAAGTCATGATACAGTGGCGATACTATATTGGCAATCGAAGGAGGTTTGGAGCGTTAAGTAGTAGCGCAATCGCTACAGCGTCAAGTGACAGATAGGCAACAAACAGAGCGTGACATACGGCGATAAGAGAGCCACGGACTGTCTACGGCGAAAAAGAAAGATCGACGGACGGCGGCGACGAAACTGTGAGCGACTGTCTACGGCGAAAAAGAAACAGTAGACGACGATAAGGACACAAGAGCCGTTTCGCGATGGCGGAGAGCCGCGGCAGCAGATGTGCGAGGAGAAGAGGCAATGGCGCGTGGGGCAAGCAAGCGCGCGCAGAGGGTCTCCCGGCGGCGGAATTGGCCGAGGCAGCGGCGGCGGCGGCGGCGGATGCAGCAGTGTCGTTGCGAGCAGCACAGGCCGGTGCCTGCGCCGTAGGCGAGCGGCACAGGGCAGGCAAAGCGTAGCGGGGGAGCCAGTTGTGTGGCGGCGGCCAATATGGATGGTGGAGGTTCCTCGGATAGGTGAGGAGGGGAGAGAGGGTAGGGTAGTGATGGTAAGGGGTGTGACGGTGGTAATTTGTGCAGTAGTGCATAAGGTGAGGAGAGCAGCGGCAGGGGCAAAAGAAAAAGTAGAGCGCAGGCAGTGCGCAGCGGAAGGCCAAGTGTGTGGTGCTGGCATGGAATCTGGGATAGGTGAGACGGGGAGAGGGGTGATGGGAGGTGATGGATAAGGGTTGTCATGGTTGTTAAGGCTGTGCACGGG